AAAATGCGTATCTGGTTCCCTGGGCACAGAGAAGATGAGCCCCCTGCAGGTGGCAGGGCCTTGACTCCTGGCATCAGGAGGAAGTGGGTGCTACCGCCTGCGTGTGATTTATGACCTGGAAGCTGTCTCGTCTTCTGTGCTGATCAAGGAGGACTTGGGTTAAAATGACAGGGTTTGGAAGTGAAGCAGCCCGGAACTGCTTGCTTCATAGAATGTGAGGTCTGTGTGAAGCTGAACAGACTGTGCATGAGGCATGAACTTTTTAAAAAAAATTTATTTATTTATTATGTATAGAACATTCTGCTTTCATGTATATCTGCACACCAGAAGAGGGCACCAGATCTCATAACGGATGGTTGTGAGCCACCATGTGGTTGCTGGGAATTGAACTCAGGACCTCTGGAAGAGCAGTCGGTGCTCTTAACCTCTGAGCCATCTCTCCAGCCCCAAGATATGAACTTTTAATGAGTACAGCCACTGAGATTCTGGGATTGTCATTGTCTTGTTTGTTTGTTTGTCTTTTTTGAAGCAGTGTTTCTCTGTGGCTTTGGAGACTGTCCTAGAACTAGCTCTGTAGACCAGGCTGGTCTCGAACTCACAGAGATCCGCCTGCCTCTGCCTCCCAAATGCTGGGATTAAAGGCCTGTGCCACACCATGCGGCCGATTGTCATTGTCTTGCTTAACCAAATGCAAACTCCAAAAAGTATTGTCTAAAACTGACAAATGAAGAGAAAGCCTTCTAGGCGTATTCTTCTACATTTTTACTTTATATTTTATTTTGTGTGTTTGGGTGTTTTGCCTGCATGCATTCTTTGTACAATGTGTATGCAGTACCCGTGGATGTCAGAAGAGGGCGTCAGATCCCTCTGGAACTGGAGTTACAGATAGTAAGCTAGCATGTAGGCGCTGGGAAACTGAACCTCTTGAAGAGTAGTCAGTTTGCTGCACTGCTGAGCCATCTCTCTAGCCCCAGGATATTAAAAAAAAATTTTTACTACATATATTTATTTGTGTATGGGTGAGGGACATAGGTGCCATGGTGTGTCTGAGAAAGTCAGAGGGCAACTTGTGGAGGTCAATTTTCACCTTCTCTGTGTGGGTCCTGGGGATGGAACTCAGAATTTGAGACCTAATAATCAGGAGAACAGATGAGGCATTCACCATGGTTGCTTGTGGGAGCAGGACTGAGGAGATGGGGTCAATGGAGGAATGCGTTTACACTCTGTGTTACATTGGCAGGAATACAATTGTATTACCCTCCTCCCCCCTTTTTTTTTGAGACAGGGTTTCTCTGTAGCTTTGGAGCCAGTCCTAAAACTCGTTCTGTAGACCAGGCTGGCCTCGAACTTATAGAGATCTGCCTGCCTCTGCCTCCCAAGTGCTGGGATTAAAGGTGTGCACCACCACTGCCTGACCAATTTTATACTCTTGATACTTGTAGTTTGGAAATTTGTCCACCAGACCAATATAGAGGTGTGTCTCGGAAAAAACAACTTGCTAGACAGCCCGGCTGAGGAATACCGACGTGACCAGATGTAGGAAGGCGTGCCGGTCTGTGGGGATAGTGGTGGGGACTGTGAAAGTTCACATAGTGTGTAACTGCCTTCAGAGGGGACAGCCTGAGTCCTGTGGATAGTGAACTTGAAGAAGAGAGGCTGGGGACCCGAGATCACGAGAGAGTGCATGAGCCCTGGAATAAGACCTGTGTCTGAGGGAGCCTGCTGCTTCCAGGGAATAAAATGGTCCAAGTCCTCTAACTCGGGGAGTATAGAGAGGCCAGAGTCCTAGGAGTAAAGAGAGTTCCTTCAGTGAGAGCGTGAGGCAGTGCTGAGTGCTAGAAAGAAAGAAGCAGCCCAAGAGAAGGTGATGGGAGTGGGCCTCTCGGGAGAGGCAATGTCTGAGAAGAGACAAGCGATGCAAACTTTGGCAGTAAGTCCAGAAGTCCTGAGGAGGGCTGGGCTTGACATGTTTGAGGAATTGCAGAAAGGCCAGCATGGTGGAGGACATTAGTCAAAAAGTAGGTTTGGAGAGCCTGGGCCCCAGAGTTAAGGTTGGAGTCAACTTATGGAACATAGAGGTTGCTTTGGGGAGATCCTGGGGGTTGAGAGCAGAAATAGGTACAATTTGTTTTGTGGCTGGAGCAGTGGCCTAAGGAGGTCATCATGGCAGGGGGTGATTACAGAGGACAAGAGAGAGAGAGGCCCTTCAGCCCAACATGGACCAGACCCAGCAGCCTCCGCTCCCGCTCACCGGCAGCCCAGCCCCCTCTTGGGATGGAAGGATCTGTCACAAATCAAAATAGCAGGCAAAGAACAGCCTCGAATTGTTCTGTGTAAGAGCAGAGAAATTAGACGAGTCAGCTGTGGGCTCGAGACCGCCTCCCACACAGCTGTGATCCGCACCCCGATGAAGACACACTTCCGGAGACTCGCAATTCTGCTGGCTCCGAGCAAAAAGTTTTGCTGCTCCAGACCCAGAGCAAATAGTAGTTATTTTGGGACAGACGCTGGTCTTGGAGGACAATGAGGTAGTCTTTTACCCCCCCCCAAACCCTCTCATCTATCATGGAAAAGTTTTAACAGATGAAAGTTTGGTTAGTCCTTCAGAAACACCAAGTGCCAAAACTGGGCCTGGTGAGCACATGCATGCCTTTAATCCCAGCACTTGAGAGGCAGAGATAGGCCGATCTCTGTGAGTTAGAGGCCAGCCTGGACTATAGAGTGAGTTCCAGGACAGACAGGGTTCAAAAAACAAACAAGAAAGAGTTCAAGGTTATCCTTGGCTATATAATGAGCTTGAAGCTAACCAGGGCTACTTGAATCCTTATCTGAAGTCCTTCTGCCCCAGCCACCCTCCCACCCCCCAAAAAAAAGAAAAAAGAAAAAGATACAGAGACCAAAGACTTTCTTCACATTTTCATGAGGAATCTAGACTCCTGAATCCAACCTCTGATCTGCCTGATTCTTTCTATCTGTCTGTCTATCTGTCTATCTATCTATCTATCTATCTATCTATCTATCTATCTATCTATCTATTTGTTTATTTTTGTGGTGCTGGGATCCAACCAGGCACTCACGGTACCAGTAAGCTATCCTGCAGCCCAGGTCTGCTAAATGCAGTCTCTGGAATTGGGGCTTTTAATCTCCATTCTTAATGCACACACTTCTACCCCGAGCAGTTATCTGAATGCAAGCCTAAGATCCGCTTTAGTCACACCCTGAAGCCCATTGTGGGAGAGACAGGGAAATGAAAACACACAGAAACAGCATAACTCACCTGAGATCACACAACCACAGCACAGCGCCAAGGTGAGAGCCACCTGCATGCTCTCCTGTCAAGTGTCTTGCTCTTCTCTTTTAGTGTCTTTCTGTTACCCGGGGTGAGGGTGCTCAATAGTGTTTTTATTTTGTTTTGTTGGGAGAGGGTCTCATGTAGCCCAGACTGGCCTTGAGTCCTCTATGTAGCCAAGAATAACCTTGAACTCTTAATCTTCCTACTGCCGTATTATCCAAATATGCTGCGATTACAGGTGTGTACCACCATACCCAAAGATTTTGTTTGTTTGTTTTTCTAAGACAGGGTCTCGCTATGAAGCCCATGTTAGCCTCAAACTTGTAATCCCCTTACCTCAATTGCCCCTCCATCTAGCTTCCGAAGTTGGGCTCTGCCTTTAGGAAATTACTTTCCCTACTCTCAGGGCTCTTCGAGCTATAACCTGACACATGAGAAATTGCTTATATCAGCCTGCTCTTTCCTTTCTTACCAGTCCAAGGTGTGAGAGAGATTCTTACCTTGCCCCACTGTGGCTGTGTTTTTATGATTATGCTGCTGCTCTGGGACAGTTTCCTCTGTGCCACCCTGTACCCAGCTCAGGCCCTGTATGTAAGGGACCATGACTGTGTGTGCTGACCACGCAAGGCCAGCTGCTTTGTGGATTGCTGTATACAGTGTGGAGCATGCTCGGAGTGGGAGTGTTAGGGGCAGCTTGGTTACACACTTCTGGCCTGATACCCGGGCTAGATTTGTGACAATGAGTGTGGCTCCCCTTCCTCACAGCACAGGGACAGGAAAGGGTATGAACCATGGTATTCACAGCAGGATGGGACTAGTTGTGGGGGTTAGGAAGCCTGGATGGAACCAAAAAAGGAACAGAAGCCCTGGGCTACCACAGAGGACATTTCAAGGGTCTCCGTAAGGTCCCAGCAGAGTCCCTCCCTCAGAACTGGTCAATCATATGCCCCAAGACCAGGTAAACGGCTAACTCCCAACTTCATTCTGTATAGATGAAGACTAGCATTCTGAGGCTGGTGAGAATGGACCCCCTACGTTGTTCTCTGACCACTGCTGGGCAAGCCCTCTGGCGGCTGAGTTACACCCTGTCTTTGTCCTGAGTGTATGATCCTTGGGCTCAGGGTTACATCTCTGTCATCTCACTAAGTTTTCACAACCGTAAACACATTACATCCCCTGACCCCTTCCTTCCTTTTTTCCCCCTTTTTTGGAGACAAGATGTCATTCATTGTGAGATTCCTCCTGGAGCTGGGGTTATTGGTAGTTGTAAGCCACGTGATCTGGGTGCTGGGAATCAAACTCAGGTCCTCAAGGCACATTCATTGTTTTTATGTAGCTCAAGTTGGCCTTGAACTCAATCTTACTGCTTCAGCCTCTCCAGTGCTGGGATCATAGGCTCCAGAAAGATCCTTACCCATCTGCTTCTCAGAGGAGAGATGGTCAACTGGGTAGTTCAGGCTTCAATCCCACCTTGGCTCCCAACCTTTTAACTTTTTTCTTTTTTTTTTGAGAAAGGGCCTCATGAAGCCCAGGCTGGTCCTCAATTCCCAGTCCTGATGGGTTAGCCTCCTGAGTGCCGGGATTGCAAGCATTGACACCACACTGGTCCTGCCCTTTGTGGATCTTTTGACCAATTCCCTTTACTCCCCCAGTTTAATGGAAATTGAAATCCGTGAAGTCGATAGTTGTTTGCGCTCTTCCTTCTAAGGTATACTAAGCTGAAGACCGCCACCAACATCTACATCTTCAACCTCGCCTTGGCCGATGCTCTGGCCACCAGCACGCTGCCCTTCCAGAGTGCCAAGTACCTGATGGAAACGTGGCCCTTCGGAGAGCTCCTGTGCAAGGCGGTGCTGTCCATTGACTACTACAACATGTTCACCAGCATATTTACGCTCACCATGATGAGTGTGGACCGCTACATTGCCGTCTGCCACCCCGTCAAGGCCTTGGACTTCCGGACGCCTGCCAAGGCCAAGCTGATCAACATATGCATCTGGGTCCTGGCTTCAGGTGTTGGGGTCCCCATCATGGTCATGGCGGTGACTCAACCCCGGGGTGAGTGCCAGAGGAAGCTGCCGCATGGGTCTCAGCCTGACCACCTATTGGCCTCTGTGGATTTCCAAGTGGGCGTGGCTACCAGTGCTGTGTGGGTTACAGAACAATGGATGGAGTGGATTGGCTGGTGGGGTGGAGAGTCAGCCAATCGGGAGTGTGGGTGATAGGTCGCTGGCCAAAAGGAATTTATAATAGGCTTGTGGACTGGCTGGCTAGGACTGCAGATTAAAAGGACATGGATAAATGACCAAGGTGTGACTGTCACTGACCAGTGAGCAGCAGAGGCTACAGAATCTGTAGACTCATGCTAAACTCCTTTTGTCACATTTTGAAAACCACTGGAGGGATTGACGAGATGGCTCAGTGGTTAAGAGCGCATACTGCTTCTTCATGAAGACCTGAGTTGATTCCCAGCACCCACACCAGGTGGCTTACAACTGCCTGAAAGGGGATCTCACACCTCTGACCTCTGTGGGCACTTGCAATTCATGTGCATATCCCCTCCCTCCATACACACAATTAAAATAATAAGAAGAGAAATAGAAAAGAAAACCACTGGAAGTTGGGTATATAATAATACAGGGCTCTAACCCTGACACTCAGGAGCTTGAGGCAGGAAGGTCTTGAGAGACCAGCCTGGGAGATGTAGTGAGAACCTGGAGAGAGGGACTCCATGGGAGGATGTGCTTCAGTTCATAAAGTGCCTGGCCAGCATCACTCTACGAGCCCTGGAATCAATCCCCAGCACTCATACATCAGGTGCTGCATACCTATAGGGCTTGCAAGAGGATCAGGAGTTCAGGGCTAGCTTTAGCTCTATAATGAGTTTTAGGCCACCCTGGGCTACATAAAACTCTGTCTCAAAAACAAAGAAAAATAAGGAGAAGAAAATACCATTGGCCAAATGATAAAAGTGAAACCTAGAGAATGGCCCACAGGGAGTGGTAGACAGGTGCATCTCCTGGGGTATCTTTATTAGTTTCTGTAGCTGCTGTAACAAACATCCCCAAAGTTCAGACAGACAGGTGCATCTCCTGGGGTATCTTTATTAGTTTCTGTAGCTGCTGTAACAAACATCCCCAAAGTTCAGACAGACAGGTGCATCTCCTGGGGTATCTTTATTAGTTTCTGTAGCTGCTGTAACAAACATCCCCAAAGTTCAGACAGACAGGTGCATCTCCTGGGGTATCTTTATTAGTTTCTGTAGCTGCTGTAACAAACACCCCCAAAGTTCAGGGACTTAACATGCAAGTTTCCTTCTCAGTCCACTGCAATCCACTGGGTAGGAGGATGGTTTGGGGGTGACCCAGGGAAGGTGCCCAAATCTTCCACAGTTGGTGTCTGGCCAGCACATAAATACAGAAGGGAGTCAGGAGGAATCATAACCACTTTTCAGTGTTGTTGTCCATCCTTCCTAGCGCTGGCTGCTCACATGGCTGCACCATGATGTAAGGAAGGGTGTCTAAACATTGGTAACTGACTTCTGAGCCCTACCTCCTCATAGAGAAGGCAGGACGCCTCTTCCTCTCTCTCTCTCTCATTGGTGCACAATGTGGTGATACTTGTCCATATCCCAGCACACAGGAGACTGAGACAGAAGGACCCTGAATCCAAGGCATAATAAAGGCCACTTTATATTATACATCCAGATCTTGTCTGAAAGAAAAAAAAAAAAAGACAGAATCAAGTCAGGTGGTTTAGTTTAAGCCTCCCAGATAGCCACCTGATGAATTTGACCTTTGACCCAAGGCTCCGCCCTCAGGTCTCTCCTTCCGTCTCTTCTCCCCTGGTAGAAGCCTGTGGAGGCTTGGTTTTCAGGGTAGGAAAGGGGCCGAGGGTTGGTAGGACACTTCTTAGACACCTTGACCCTCACAAGGGCAGAGCCCACAGCACCATTATACAACCTTTGAGCAATTGGTTTTGACTGAGCAGCAGGACCCATTGCTCAATGTCGTCCTTCAGTTTATGCTTCATTAACTGCAGCCTTGCTGGGAGCTGAGCCAAATGGACCTCACTCCTCCACTCCAAACACCCCCCTCCCCGCAAACCCCCCCCCCTATACACACACTGATCCTCCGTCATCCCCAGGGGTCCTGCCAGCCTTAAGTACCACAGACATTTTGTGGCTTTCCAGCCCCTTTCTCATAACTCTCAGGCTGCAAGTCTACTGTGTGGCTCCAAGAGATCTTCAGCCTCTTGCCTGAATCAGGACCCTACAGCATCCTCTGAGATGCTCACGTGGCCCAAGCCCCTTCTCCAGGAACAGGAAGGTTCCCTTCCTCTTTCTATGGTCTGGCTGTTGGGAAGGGCTTTGTTGTTTTATTTTACTTTTGGATATATTCTCAATATGTAACTTTGTCTAGCCTTGTACTTGGGATGCTTCTGACTCAGGCTTCTAAGTGGTGGGATTATAGGTTTGTGCTACCTCACCTGTGCTGCTGACATTAGGTGAGATCTGCACATTGTCCTTTAACGGCCACATGGATATGTGGCCCATACACACAGAGAACAAATACATCTAACTCTAACTAAGGAAATGCACATTTAACTATTAGCCCCACCATAAGAAAGTCACTTCCCCAAGGCCATACACATCTGGGCTGGAGTGAGGCCCCTAACTGAACCCAGAGTCTGGTGCATGCACTATAGCAACTGAATTACATTCCCAGCCCTAATTCACCCTCTAAATCAATCGTCAGTACTGATGGACCCACTGGAGCAATTTTGGAAATGGGTAGGGGGTCTGCTGAGTTAACACAATGACTGATATTACTGGGCCAGCATAAATTATTATGAGAGAAGACACAAATGAGGGCCGATTCTGGGGTCTTTATGTGTAAGAAGGAGTTCACCAAGTACAGGCACAGTCTTAGGCGGCAATCCTCTTGAAAGGGGGCAAGCAGACAGAGTCCCTTAGGCACACAGACCTCTGACCCCTGTCTTTCCTTGTTTCCCCGAGCTTAGATGGAGCAGTGGTATGCATGCTCCAGTTCCCGAGCCCCAGCTGGTACTGGGACACGGTGACCAAGATCTGTGTGTTCCTCTTCGCCTTCGTGGTGCCAATCCTCATCATCACCGTGTGCTACGGCCTCATGCTGCTGCGCCTGCGCAGCGTGCGCCTGCTGTCGGGCTCCAAGGAGAAGGACCGAAGCCTGCGGCGCATCACGCGCATGGTGCTGGTGGTGGTGGGCGCCTTCGTGGTGTGCTGGGCGCCCATCCACATCTTCGTCATCGTCTGGACGCTGGTGGACATCAATCGGCGCGACCCACTTGTGGTGGCCGCGCTGCACCTGTGCATTGCGCTGGGCTACGCCAACAGCAGCCTCAACCCTGTGCTCTACGCCTTCCTGGACGAGAACTTCACCCGGCACTGCCCCCTAAGCTCCCCACCCAAGTGAAAGTGACCTGGCGGCCACACCGAGCCTCCGGGGAGGCTCCGGCCACCATCTGGGCAGCTGGAATGGGGCCTGCGCAGAGGGGTGGCCTCCGGTAGGGGCGGGGCCTGGGGGATCCAAGGTTCTGGGTTGGAGGGGTGGGGGTGTCCTGAGTGACACCTGAGGCTCTAAACTAGATCCTTTAGTATAAGGCCTCTCCGAAGGGGCAGAGCTTCAAGCTTTGGGATAGCCTCGGACTCTGGCCTTTTGAATACCCAGTTCCAATCTAAGACCTGAGGATTCCAGCTCTAGAAACCAGGAAGGGCAGTGATGACGGGATCGATGATCTGATGATAGCAGTGAGAGTCTGAGCCTTTGTGGTAGAGGGAGGAGCCTCTTAGGGGAGGTGAAAGGACCAATCAAGCAGTCGGGAAGGGCACTTAAGGGTTTGGTCAGGAGATAAACACCGCCCCCACCTCTCACCCCCCCTCCCCGCATAGGGGAGTGGGCGGAGGTGGGAGCCTCAGTTTGGAGAAGAGTCCAGGCTCTCACCAGGTTCTAACTAACCCGCTAAACTCGTCCAGGCTAGGTCCAATATAACTTCTTTATACAGAGAATACAAGCTGGGCCTAATATGGCAGGTTGGTGTAATTCCAGTCATGCTGGAGGCTGAGGCTGGGAAGTTAAAGGCCAGCCTGGGCAACTTAGTGTCTAAAACTAAAACGTAAAGAGGGCCGGGGGTGTAGTTCAGTGGCAGGGTGTTTGTGGGAGGCTCTAGGATCAATGAGACAAAACAAAAAAAACCCTCCAAACTACAGCAAAACCCCTGCAGGGCTGGGGGCAGGTCAGTAGGGCAGAAGCATTGGCTCCTGGATACTGGAACAAGGCCCCCAGAATCAAGTTCTGATGGGATCCTTGAGGCTCAGCAAGGACTGAGACAGTTCCAGGACTCCAATAACACAGTCAGCCTTTGTGTCAAGGAGAGGAAGCAGAGCTAGAATGTTGGCTCAGGGGTTAAGTGCACTTAATTGCTATTGCAGAGCACACAGATTCGATTCTCAGCACCCACATGGTGGCTCATAACCATCTGTAACTCCTGTCCCAGTCAATCTGATGCCCTCTTCTGACCTCTGTGGGCACCAGGCATGAACATGGTGCACCTACATACATACATACATACATACATACATACATACATACGAACGTACATACATACATACATACCTGCAGGCCAAACACTCATACACATAAAATAGGTCCTTAAAAACAAAAAACAAAAGTGGAACTGGGCTTGGTGGCTTAGGTCTTTAATCCCAGCACTCCAGAGGCAGAGGCAGGTGGATCTCTGTGAGTTCACATCCAGCTTGGTCTACAGAGTGAATTCCAGGACAGCCAGGGATATATATAGTGAGACCCTGTCCCAAAAACCAAAATTAAACAGAAATGTGTGTTAGGAGAAGAGTAGATAGTGAGGCAGGGGGCCGAGGCTTCTGCTTACAGTTTAAATCATGAAGCCTGATTCAGGTGGATGCTTTTGGGGCTCCCAGGGGTCTCGGGTCTATGGATCAGTACTGGAGCACAGAGACCCACCTTGTCTGAGTACCCTACATGTGGCACCTCAACATGAGCCAGGGGCTGTCAGAATTACCAAGTATTTGGATCCTCGATAAGAGCCTGGGAGAATTTGAGGCCAGCCTGGTCTACAGAGTGAGTGCCCAGACACTCCAAAGCTACACAGAGAAACCCTGTCTCGAAAAACCAAAAATAAATAATAAAAAAAAAAGAACCTGGAAGAAGTCCCCTCCCCTTCCTCCAGCATCTGGCTTCCCATCAGAGAGATGTCTGGTGTCAGTGACTCTCAGGGACTGGAGCTGCCCAAGTAGGACCTAGCTTTGAGGTAAAAAGGCTTTTATAGCAATGATGTCAGCATTGTCCTTTGCTGCCTCTCCGTTTGCCTCCTGGGTCCCTCATCTGCTCTAGCTGCCCCCTTCCAGCTCCAGAGGGTGGACATAGAAACTTACCCAGGCACTCCTAGATCCTAGTTCCCCTGGATGTCATTGTTTGCCTTGTCCCCTGTGCCTCCCCCATTGCCTGAGCAACCTGCCCCTGACTCTGTATTGAAGCAGCCTGCTGACATTCTTGTAAAAACAAATTTAATTCTCTTCCTTTTTTGGGACAGATGGAAAGAAATTGACGCCTTTGTCTCAAACAAAAAAAGAAAGGAGAGAGAGAGACAATATACCTCTTTTCTTTTTGACAGCCATTTCTTTGGAACAAAAGCTAGAGGCTGTCACTCCAGTAGGGACTGAGCAAGCCTTCAGGGAGGCAGGAGCTAGACTAGTGGGAGGTGTCTGTTGATGGACAAAGAACAGTTCTTTCCTCAGTGTAAAGTCCCTAAGAGCCAAGAACCTTGGGATCTCTGTACCTGGGATGTGGTGCAATGGTCACCACTGTCATTAGGCCTGCACAGCCACTGTAGCCTGAAACCTAGCCACATAGCTGACTTTCACCACCCAAATGGACTCTATGACCAGAGATTTCTGTTTGAGCCTGGTGAGGAAGTCATCATGCAGAAGACACTCCCAGACACTTGCTTCTGGAGAGTCCTCCTGTTATATGGGCGGTAGCAGAAGAAGGGACAAATATTCAGGGCAGACTCCAGAAGCAGGTGACACAGGACCTTGGGCTGTGTATCTTCCTGGCAAGGGCTATGAACTTGTGTCCCACCCAGGGCAGAGCTGCTCCAGTCCTCTCATTGCTCTCTCCTGTGGCGGTGAGAACTCACCTTTATTTTATTTTATTTTGAGATAGAGACTCTTGTAGTCCAGGTTAGCCTCGAACTCCTGATCTTCCAGCCAGATCCTCCTGCGTGTTGGTATTACTGGTGTGGTTTTAAAATTTTTTAAACATTGATTGATTGATTGTGTCTGTGTGTGGAGGGTGGTATTGCTCTTGCCACAGTGTACACGAGGAGGTCAGAGGACAATTTGGGAGAGGTTCTTACCTACCATACGAGTTTCAAAGGATTTGAACTCAAGTCATCGGGCTTGACGGCTAGCACCTTTATCCACTGAACCCAATATAATTTTTTTCTTTTTATTATTTGTTTGTGTATTGGTGTGTATGTGTGTGTGTGTTTACACATTGGCATGTCATGGCCCCCTCCCAAGTGCTTAGATTAGAGGCATATGTTACCACATGAAACAAGACCTGGCTGCTTTTTCCCCCTGATACTAATAGACGTTTGTCCCGGGGTCAGCTTAAGCTGGGCCGAGACCACATGCAGTCAAGGTAACGTCAGCACGTTGAAGTCTTCCCGTCAGACTGTGCACTCTGGGCACTGAGACTCAGAAGTCAGTCACACACGCCTCTTCTCTCAGAAAGCTCTGGCCAGTTCTGGGAGGCAAATTATACATATGTGGTTGTATGCTAGTGTGACAAGGACAGTGACAGCCCCAGGGAGGGTGTCCCAGGGAAGTGCCTTTCAACTAAAAACATGTTTGCAGCAAAGGGCCAGGGGAGTTTAAAGGATGCAGAGGAGTTGGCTACTGAGAAGGCAGAACAGGGTGTGGAGAAGCACGGCTGTCTGTGTTCAAGAGCATGGCAAAACTTAAGTTATGAGCAGTGGAGGAGTTCAGTTCACGGCAGAACTGAACTGACTGCTGTGGTGCAGCCAACTGAGTGCCTAGAAATGCATCCTCTTGACAGCCGAGGGGGCAGAAGCAGCACTATCCCCATTTGTTTGTTTGTTTGTTTTTGAGGCAAGGTCTCACTCTGTAGCCCTGGCTGTCCTGGAACTTGGTATATAGATCAGGCTGGCCTCAAACTCACAGGGATCCACCTGCCTTTGCCTCCGGAGTGCTGGGATTAAAGGCGTGAGACACACCTGGCCAGTATAAAATGGGGATAGCATTTTAGATGTGAACACTGGGCTCAGGGAGGCTAAGCTGATTTCCTGAGTCACAGACCTTGCCAGGAGTGGCAGAACTCAGGCCAGTGGAATTGTAGAGAAAAATCCCCAGGTCCAAGTTTGCGGAGAATTTTGGGCATCTGTGAAGTGGAAAGACACCCCAGCTGCTGCAGGAGCCCTGGGATGAGGCTTCTGAAGCTTTCAGAAAATGGGGGAAAAGGGCAATTTTCCATGAACTTTTGTTCTTCCTTAAGTTCTCTGAGTCTTTGCCTTTCAAAATGTACCATGCGCGGTGCATTTTTAAAGCTCCAAATTGACAGTGTAATTCTAGACTATCACAGGTCTCTTCCTCCCCAAAATTTCCATTCCATTCTCTCTAGGAGGTGGGAGGAAAGATTTTGCCTTTGGTTTAAAAATGCCCTGCAGTTTCCAGGCTCTTCTCGATTGTCCTAGAACTCATGATGAAGGCTAGAATCTGATGTTGGCTTTCCCTATCACAGCCTCAGTTTCCCTGCCTGTGGAGTGGACTTTCTTTGGGGAGTGGCTGTGAGGATTAACTAGGTAATGCATATGTATAGCCATAGGACCTTGCGCCCCGGCAAGGAGCTGTGACTGGAAAGCAGAGCTGGGGTGCAAGGTCAGAGCCTGGGACCCAGAGGGAAACTTGCATCAGCTTCTAGAGTGGAGAGAGGAGAGAGGAGACTGGCCTGGGGACCCCTTTCCTCGAGAGTGAGAAACCACTGGAGCAGCAGAAGGAAGAAGGGAAGAATGTGCTGTCATGGAAACAGGAGGAGGAGGGCGTTCCCAGGGAGAGGCAGTGATGGATAATGTCAAGTATAATAGAGAGGATGGGGGTGCAGAGGGCAGGAGGGTGATGAGAGGAAACCAGAGACCTCAAGTTTAGTCTTCTGCATGTTCTGAGTGACCCCCAAACCTAGCTTCAAATCTCAGCCCTGAAGTTAAATAGGCCCCTGAACTAGTAAAGGATTTACTTGCCATCGCCAAACTCCTGTTTTCTCCTAGATCTAAGATGAAAGAATGGATACTCTCTAGTATGATGGCCGGCGTCTAAGCAGCCTCTTGAATTAGCTGGATTCATAGTCACTTGTAGCAA